ATGAGCACAACTGTGTGTTATGTTTTGCTCAAAAATGTAATGTCTAACAGAACAGTTTTAAAAATTAAATTTTTACTTTTTGGATCTGTAGATAGTAAGTTAGGTTTTGTTTTCTCTCAGCCCAGCAATCTGTACTTTTCTTGGGAAATGAAAGTGACTAAAGACTCCACCCACCAGAATAAAAAGTGAAGCTGAAGTATAGCTCTCGTGTTTGCAAAAGAAAGGAGTGCTCCATTTTCCCCTTATTTCTACTAGAGTTTTCAAACCTTTAGGAAGGAATTCACAAGGTAGGTCAACTGTTCTGTGTTATTTGATCACAGCTTCATTTTCATCAAACTAAACATTTATTTATACATTTCTGTGATTTACTACCTCATGAAATTCTGTCTTAATTTTTTTTATTTCTACTACTTTTTCTTAGAAGATGACTGATCAATCGTTTGAGGGTGTATTGATGAGCTGAATTTCAACAATGGATAACCCTGAGGAGGAAATGGTAAGCAAGGATTACAACCAAGTTAAGAGAATATAATTTAATGAACCTATGCACAGTATAAGGATATGTTTTTTATACTATTTGGATTTATAAAGTTTTTTAAAATTAATTGAAGATGAAACTATTGTTTAGATTTTGATGTAGGTGTTATAGGTTACAATAATCTAACCTAAGTAAAATCCTTGTTTTGATTGAAATTCTTGCTTCATAAAATATATTTATTTTCTGTTTGAGATTATGTTTGGCCACAATAAATCTGAGTTTATGATTACATGATTACATCTAACTTTGAAGTAAGCAAAGATCTTTGGAAGTATGTGTGTTTGAAACAGTCAACAAAGATACAAGTGGTTTACTCAAAATAATGTGATTTTCTTTTTAGAAATGTACATTAAAAAGTTTATATTTAACATTAATTTTAAAATACAAAAATATTATTTAAAATACAAAGCTGTTTTTTTCTGCATCATAAAGTTGTGAGTGAAAAATTGGTTCGGTTTTATTTCTATTTCTTTTTTAACAAATAATTAAAATACTTTAAAAGGGAGTGCTGTAGAGAAATGCAGCCACGTAATATTGGGCTGCATTCCTGTGTGAGGTTGGACTATGATCAATCCTAGCCATTTTGGTGCAGATTCAAAGATCTACGTGGAAATGAGAGCCAAACGTATGGTCACAGCGAAGCTCCTGACTTCGTCATTCTGCCATGGCAAAACCTTTTAACTAAAACTCACTGTGCCTTAAACAAAGCCAGAACAACATCTGACCTAGTTTCAGGTTGATTAGGTTAAAAGTATGAGAAAGGTGTTTTTAATAATAGGGAAGCAGTTGTTTTCCCACTTCATTTAACAGTTTATTTGCAATATATAACTTTTTTTCCATACTGCTTCAACAGAAAAGTAAGAACTTGGGCATGGGAAACTTAATGTTTATTTCCAGGAAATGAAACTCTGAGTCACTGTACCTGTTTTAGTGGGGGGATGGGTAATTGTTTGACTCTATGCTTATGTTTTATTATCTGGTTACTCATTAAAATAAATAATTATTTTCTAATTTACTTTGCAGTTCTTTGATGCAGCGGTTGCTTTTATAGAACCTGACTGTAATCCAGAAGGGAACTCTATCCCTTTGCCAACTGACAGTATGTATATATTAAAGAAAGTTTCAAACTGTAGCCTTCATGAATTTATTTTATTTTCAAATTGTAATTCATCTAAATGTTTTTTTTTCTTCTGCCAGATGTTCCTCCACCAGCAAAAGTGACTGTTCACTGTGTTGGCCCTAACACGGTTTCTTTTGGTGTTGAGCCAAGTGTTTCCCCAGATAAACATAAACTTCAAATAGAATACACCAGTGACACGCACTCAGGGAGCTTGAAGATTAAAAACTGCAACACCGCTGATGTTGTAGGGTTGATTCCTGGGACACAGTATATGTTTCATATCACAAGGATAGTAGAAAAAAGGGAAATCACCACTCTGTCTGTAGTTACAGGTATGTATGCCTTAGAGATGTGATGAATCATAGTGAACAGAGGGTCCTGTGAATGTAATCTAAAGTGTTGAACAGCTATTCATTTTCATATCACCACAATCAAAGTAGACGTAAATATCTAAAAAATAATTTGCTTTTGTTATCTATAAAGAAACAATTTTCTCAAAATACAAACTCTATGTGATACCCCTGTTTCTACCACATTGTCCATTTTGTTTTTGTTTGTTTTACAGAGCCTGTTCCTCCAGCAGGCATAAAAGTCACAAATGCCAGCAATAAGTCACTCTGTCTGGAATGGGACACCCCCAGTTGTGAAATGGAGTCATTCAAAGCGACCTGTAGCTGTGAAGGTGAACTTGTGGAAGAGTTGAAAACAGACACCAACAGTGTGACGTTCAACAACCTGTTGCCTGGGGCCTATTATACCATCCTTGTTTCTACACAACTAAGAAATGGAACAACAAGCAAGCCTGTTGGTATATCAGCCAAAACAAGTGAGTAGAATAAATACTTGGTTAGAAATGAATCAATTTAGGTATCAATTTATATGAAAGCTAGGCAGGCTCATTCAGCAAGAAAATTCAAATTGCTGTGCATAATAGATCAACACACAGAAATACATTGCAAATTAAACAAAGAAGAATAGTATGAAAAATAGCACAAGTAAAGTCCACTCTAAACAAACAAGTTTTGTATTTAACATTTAAAGCGATATAAGCTTCTCTTATGTTTATGATTTATTGAAATAAACGCTTTGAACTTTCCCACTGCCTGTCTCACCTTGAATACTGAGTCCCTCTGTCGCTGTTTTCTGACAATATTCTCTGAGATATTGGTAAGCATAATGACTTAAGGACTGGGGTAATATGCTCCACATTGAGTGAGGACATGAGCAGCATCACTTGGAATGACGACAGCTCTGATTGACCTTTTAGGCAGCTTTGTGAGGATATATTTGCAATGAACAAGTCTACTTACTATAGTAATGTTTAGATTTTTACACATAATGCCATCTTTAAGAATGACTAACTACCGCCTTAATGTTACATCCATCCATCCATCCATTTTCTGTCATGCTGCTGGGGTCGCGAGGGGTGCTGGTGCCTATCTCCACCTGTTAACGACGAAAGGTGGGGCACACCCTGGACAGGTAGCTAGTCTATCCCACAGCAGCTTAATGTTACAATAAAACAAAAAGTTATGTACCGTAAGTACATTAAGAGATCGGCGTCGCTAGACCCCATTTACTGGGGCACGTGCCCCAGTATAAATGAGCTGTGCCCCAGTATAAATCTCATGAATATTTGCAAAAGTATTACATTTTTTTAATGCATGAATTTAGATAATTCCAACGTGAGGAGACGTATATTTCTACTCAAATGCGTAGCAAGTGTGTTGTTAACTCCAAATTGAGGATGTATTAGCGCCCCCACGTCAGCGCATGTCACTGCATGAACTGCAGGTAAACTAACGCGCTGCTCTCAACTGAGTTGGATGGGACACTGTGCGGCCGCGACGCATTATTTATTTATTTTTTATTGACAGGTAAGAAACGTTGTTTGGTAACGTTTCTTACCTGTCGATTTTATTATTTTCCCAGTGAGACCACATGATTTATAGGCTACTAACTGAAAATTACTGCATTGGTTTGTAGATGAATATCAGGAAATTCCTCACACGAAGCAGAGACAGGGAAGCAGTAAAACAAGATGAGAGAGAGGGAGGTAAGGTCCCGTAATGAATTAGTGATTTAAGCTAAGCAGTTACATTAGGGACGTTATAAGCAATATGATACATATTTACATAATTATAAATTGACGTTTTTTTAATGTTTGCTGTAGAGAATGAGAATGAAGGTGCTGGAGTAGGAAAGGGAGGCGAGACTGACAGGCAAGAGACAGGTGAGAGACAGGAGAGACAGGACCATGAAGGTGATGAGGGAACAACAACCAGCTTCCACAAACAAGAAGAAGACATTAGTTACTTAGGGGGAAAGCATGATGGTCCTAAACAAGTGAAGTTGTCCCACCATCCCCAGGACAAATTTGGAGTAAAAAAAAAAAACTTTATTTCATTTTTATTCATTTAATTCAAAATGGTTTGAGCTTTTCCTGGTTAAAAAAGAAAGCCTTGTCATCAAGGATATGCAGTGTGTTTTCAACTTGCTTGATAACATCATGTTCCCTACACTAACGCAGGTCATCCAGATCTCCCTCACAATCCCAGTCTACAGCTGTAGTTGTGAAAGGTCATTCAGTGTGTTGAGAAGGCTCCACACTTGGCTGAGGTGCACAATGGGACAAGACGCTCCACCATCTTGCTATTTTATCAGTTGCAAAGGAAGAAC